GCTAGCAGTTCAAGAGTTTCTTCAGAAGGAGATGCAACTGACAACAGTCCAGGTCGCCAAGTCGATTGCTAGGTTTCCTTCAGTGCTTGGCTACAGCATTGAGGCGAATCTAAAGCCGAAGGTCCAATGGATCAAGGGGATAGGCCTGAGCCAGTCGCAGGTTGCCAAGGTGATCGCCGTATTTCCTTCAGTGCTTGGCTACAGCATTGAGGAGAATCTGAAGCCAACAGCGGACTGGATCAAGGGGTTGGGCTTGAGCCAGTCGCAGGTTGCCAAGGTGATCTCGAGCCATCCCCAAGTGCTTGGCTTGAGCGTTGAGGCAAATCTGAAGCCCACGGTGGAATGGATTAAGGGGCTGGGCCTGAGCCAGTCGCATGTTGCCAAGGTGATCTTGAAGCGTCCGCAAGCGCTTGGCTTGAGCATTGAGGCAAATCTGAAGCCGACAGTCGAATGGGTCAAGGGGCTGGGCCTGAGCCAGTCGCAGGTTTCCAAGGTGATCTTGCAGCGTCCTTCAGTGCTTGGCTTGAGCATTGAGGCAAATCTGAAGCCAACAGTAGAATGGATGAAGGGGTTGGGGATGAGCCAATGTCAGGTTGGCAAGCTGATTGCAGCATTTCCTCCGGTTTTTGGCCGTCGCATCGACACAAATCTGTCAGCGAAACACCGCCTTCTACAGGATTTTTTCCCCGGAGTGGAGGCAGCAGAATTGCTGGCCCAATCACCTCGCCTTTGGAGCTATAGGTATGCTCGACTTGAGCATCGCCTGTCAGTGTTGAAATCTCACAACGATCTATCCAAGCTTGCGGGCGCCATGACACTTCCCCTGGATGTATTCAGTCGCAGATACCCTGGTACATAATGCCAGACGCGCACATCGACAGACGGGTGAAAAGGTGCTGATACCAGGCAGCACCTATGGGCGCTGTCGGGGGTCGAAGTACAGACTTTGGTAGGCTGACCCCTCATTGTTAGAGGACCTACCTTGGGTATTGAGGGCTTTGGGAGCTTGAAACGCCAGGGCGTCTGCGCGTTCAACAATTGGAAAGCCGTCTCTTTTTGACCCAAGCCAGAAATGTTTTTCTCTCAAGACCCCAACTCCCCGAAGGGCCAACTCTTCACGAATAGGGACCTAGAAGGTGACATTACATCCAGACAGACCTCTGCAGATCAAATATGCCAAACTTGTTCTGCAGCTGCAGACAGCGAGGTATCCCCACTTGACTGTTAGAACAGTTTGAACCAACGCGCCCTAAGTCTTTGCACTTGTTTTTTCTGTGTCCAAGCCACCATGTTCCAACGACGGCGTACCACTCGACATCTATTCCCATCGCCATGTTTTTGAAGTAGCCTTGCCCTTCTGTCCTTCACTTACCCCAAAGACCTAAGCTGCCGAAAAGCCCCAAGCCAAACCCTGAACCCTAAACCTTACAGAAGGGACTGCCACGGGGCCTGAGTTTTTGCACGCCACATTATCGCATACTTTTCGGTACTTGTCAGTTTGGATGGCTTTGCATCCCCCCCGGCACTTTCAAACCTTAAGCCCTGAACGCCCCAAACCGTTGCTCCGCCGCAGGCCCGGGCAAACCCGAACCAGCTCACGGCCAAGGCGGGGAGCTTCCTGGTTTTCGTTTTGTGGGGGTTTAGGGTTTCGGGCTCAGGGTTTTAACTGTTTTAGGGGTTTGGGGGTTTGGGGTGTTTAGGGTGCAGGGGCACGCCGAAATCCAGCTGGAAAGCCTAACACCATCTTTGGAGATGCAGGGTCCCAAACCGGTGGTTTCGTAGTTCGCAGTTGTACTAGAGTTTCTCCTGGAGGTCCTACCGTTCTTGCTTGCTGTCTACGCTTCAAACGACACGCCCTAAACTCAGACCCTGAATTCGAGGAACACCTCTAGCTTCCTTCAAACTTCAACCCTAGGCCTTGTGATCGAAAGAGCATGCTAAGATTGCGAAAGAAAGCCGCGAAAAACCCGCGAAATCCTGAGCTCAAAGTCTGGGGTTCGAAAGCCCAATACATTCTACATATATGATGGAACCATTGCAAATCCCACAGCCCGAAGCACTAGCCTTGAAGCGGCCATCCTGAAGCAGACGTTGGCAAGACGGAGAGAATTGGAATCAGTGTTCTACTTTCGAGTTTTGCCGCGTCCTGTCTATACTGTAGGTTGAGAGAGAGAGCGAGAGAGATCTCTCTAATCCATGCAAACCCTGGGAAGCCTTCAAGGCTTCACCGAACACTTAAACAATCACACCCTAAACCACCTAGAAAATTTACCACAGCCTCCAGCCAAAGCAGATCACAAAAGCCACGAATTTTTGCGACCAAGCGCACCGTAAAAAGCCCGGGAATGCACCTCAGGGCGCCTCGCCCTTGCACCTGGCGGCGCAGCTGGGGAAGCCGGAGCCGGTGAGTCTCCTGCTCGAGCTCGAGGCGAGAAGAATCCTGGGTCCCTGTTGGATACAATTTTACATTTTTGTTATAATAAAAGCCAATAAGGATTAAAAATGATCTTTTTTAATATAAACAATTTTACATTTTTTGTTATAATAAAAGCCAATAAGGATTGAATATGATCATTTTTAATATAGTCGCAATATGGAACCAGAATCGGGGGGCTTTCGATTGGGAGTTTCAGTTTCGGGTCGGGGATTGTGGTTACAGCCTGATGTTTTTGCAGCCTGGTTGGTTTATTTGGGGGGTTGTTTGTAGGGTTGTTGTACTGTCTGCGTGGAGGCTTCATGAGTCTCGCCATCGACCACAATTCCTGGTGCTCAACCGAAGCTACAGGCCTCAAAGCCTCAAGCCCTGAGCATCCAAACCCCAAATCCGAGTGACGTCAACTCTTCCGAAGCTGACTGCAGCCTGCTCTCAATGCATTAATCGACCCGGCAGCTTTGCACTGCCGTGGGGCCTGTCTCTGGCTTGCAATGTCTGTGTTTCCAGAGCACTCTGTTGGGTCAGGGATTGAGCCAAGGGAACGGACTTCTGCCGTGCCGGTCTGGGATTTCAGAGGTCCAAACTGGGCAGCAGGATCACGTTGCGGAACTCTTCTGGAGTCTCTCCGTGTCTTCTCAACACTGAGCCCTAACTCCGAAATCACTGCGCCACACAGTGGACCCACAAATTTCTGGGGCGCCAAGCCCATGACAGACACGTTCAAGTTCAACCCCTGCGTACACGTTTCAATCTCGGATGGGTGCTCGCAAGGTTTCGGGCATCCTGAAACAAAAGCGCCAAATCCCCAAACCTAAATCTCCAGCCCCAACGCAGAAGAATCAATACTATCCTTGAGGCCCCCCGTTTACAACGAGAATATAGAGTATACCCCAAAACCCTATCTCGATTATTGAGGCCGTTATAGTATAGAGCCTTATAGACATATCTGAATCTCATAGAACCCCTTTTTAAAGGAGCCCCTAAGGGAATCCGATATTTTGCTTTTGGTTTTCGGGAACCTCGGGTCTTACGTCAGGCAGATCCGAACCTCGCATCGACTCAGGCGCGGTTTGGGTGCTCGGGGGCTTTGAGCTTTCTGCGGACTTAGTCTTCAGAGTTTGGGGCCTTTAGAACTTTAGGATTTGAGGGCTCAGGGCTTCGAGTCTAGGGCCTAGGGCTTAGGGCTTCGGGTGGAGCTTAGGGTTTCGGGCTTGGGGTTACGGCCATAAGCCCTAAACCCTAGACCCCAAACCCTAAACCCTATAAGCACTAATTAAAGCTGGAGCCAGCGCTTAGCGCTTGGGGCTTGCATTGAGCATCGTTTTAAGGCTGAAGTTTCTTCCCTTGGGCGCAGCGTTTGGACTCTCAATCTTCAAGTCCAGAAGGAGACACCAAACGAGGGTCAGGACCTCAAGGCCCAGATTGTGTGTGGAGAGCCATGTGGGTAGTTCTCTAATTTAGGCTTCTTTTTGCAAGGGTGCCGTACTATTTTGGGCACGTAACAAGGGACCTACTTTAGAGAACTACCCATGTCTATCCTGGCCCAATTTTCACCTGACCTTCAAGCTACTTGGGGGCTTATAAGCGTCATAACCCAAATTAGGATCCCTCTTCGGGTACTTACAACTGTCACCCGCCCCTCCAAGCTACGGTTTCGGGTTGGGGGTGCGCGATTCTGCCAGGCCCAGCTCTCAACTACTAGAGGGAAGTCAGTAAGCAGAGTCACAAGTAGCTTTTATTCGGGTTATAAGTAGGTATACCCATATTTGCCTTACTTGCAACCCGGAGTCCCTGATCCTCCAAGTGCACCTGCCCGTAGAAGCTGGCCCCTGAATGCAATCAAGTCCCAGACCCGAATCCAATAGCAATGTCTACGTCTAACATCACAAGCCCTCCACCACACCGTGCTCCTTACATCCCCAAACCTACCCAAGATTTTTCGAAACCTGCAGCCCCCAAGCACAAGAGTCCAGCGCCCTTATAGGGCCAGACAGCGCTGTCCCTGGCGTCGAACAAGAAGGTCATAAGCATACTCCAGGAGGCTCCGAAGCTCCAGCATTGGGGATTTCAAGTCGGCGAGGGGTCTCGGTTTCAGGGTTTGGGTCTTGAGTGGTTTAGGGTCCAAGGGTTGGGTGTGAAGTGTTTCGGTTTTAGGGCGTTCAGGCTTTGGGCTTTTAAGGCTCGCAGGTTGAATGCCAAGAGTTTCTTCTTGAAGATCAGGCTTTGGAGTTCTTTGGTGGTTGGAGGCTTCCTGACCTGTGGGCTCGAAGATCCAAGGTCTCGTGCCCAAGCGCTTCAAGGCTTTTGAGGCTTCGGTCCGAGTCTGCATTAGTTGGGATGTTGCTGTCGAGAATTGCACCATGGAAGCCTTGCTATAGTGACATTGGTCTTGCATGCTTGACGTAATACAAACCCAAATGCAAAACCAAAAATGGAGGGCTTGAAATCCTGATCCGACAGCTCAGAATCGTAATCTTTCATCTGAAATCCAGAAATCCAAAGCTTTCTGTTTGGGTTTGTTGACCTCCCTTGGTGGGTACCTGTGAGGCCCCTGTCAGCCAAGCAGATTAGCTTCGGTAGCTTGCCGCCGACATCGAAGATGCAGCATCCATCTTGGAGACGATGGCTTCGTCGTGGTGGTCTGGTACATCGCCCTTGTGCGAATCTTCCTCGCTTCACCTTTGGAGCTGCTTTGACGGAATCGACTCCACCGGCTTGGTGGCTGAAGGGCCGGCCCCGGAACGTCTTTCGGAGTAGGGCTGAGGTAGAGCTCCTCTCCCAGCTGGCAGTGCTGCTCATGCCGGATGAGCCCATTGCCGAGGCTTTTCGCGATTTTCCGGTTCAGAGGTGCAAGGGGTGGGGTTCCAGCAGATTGTGCCCAGATTTCGCAGCACACGGTGTGCTGAAAAGAGCAGGTGCTGCTCTGTTCATCGAGTACGATGGCTATTATCGTCACATGGAGCCAGCGGGCCTAAACAGGGACGTGCGCAAGACAAGTGCACTGTTGAAGTTCGCCCCTGTGGGATCTATCGTGCTGCGCATCGCGCACAAGGAGCGACAGTGGAAGGACAACTCCGTGCAAGTATTGGTGGACTGTTGGCAGTCCGAGCACGTGCCTTCGCTTCACAAAACGGTGAGGCAAGTTGTAGCTTCTCTGCTGCAATCTTGTCGTGCGGAGCTGGTGCCCGGGCTCGTTTCACAGCTTGAGGCACGTGCCCAAATGCAAATCGACAGGCAAGCACAAACCTTTGCAGTGGACGCAGAGTTGGTGGGCAGCGCGTCTCGCAGCAGTGGGCTAGCAGTTGAAGAGTTTCTCCAGACGGAGATGCAGCTGACACCGGTTCAAGTTGCCAGGTCGATTGCTAGGTTTCCTTCAGTGCTCGGCTTGAGCATTGAGGCGAGACTATTGCCAACAGTCGGATGGATCAAGGGTCTCGGCCTGAGCCAGTCGCAAGTTGCCAAGGTGATCGCGAGCTTTCCCCAAGTGCTTGGTTACAACATTGAGGCAAACCTGAAGCCGACAGTGGAATGGATTAAGGGGCTGGGCCTGCGCCAGTCGCAGGTTGCCAAGATGATCACGCGTTGTCCCCAAGTGCTCAGCTACAGCATTGAGGCAAATCTGAAGCCAACAGTCGAATGGATCAAAGGGTTGGGCTTGAGCCAGTCGCAAGTTGCCAAGGTGATCTCGAGCTATCCCCAAGTGCTTGGCTTGAGCATTGAGTCAAATCTGGAGCGAACAGTCGAATGGATCCAGGGGTTGGGCTTGAGCCAGTCGCAGGTTGCGAAGGTGATCGCGACCTTTCCCCCAGTGCTGGGCTTGAGCATTGAGGCAAATCTGAAGCCAGCAGTCGAATGGTTCAAAGGGTTGGGCCTTAGCCAGTCGCAGGTTGCCAAGGTGATCGCGACCTTTCCCCAGGTGCTTGGCTTGAGCATTGAGGCAAATCTGAAGCCAACAGTCGAATGGATCAAGGGGCTGGGCCTTAGCCAGTCGCAGGTTGCCAAGGTGATCTTGCGGCGTCCGCAAGTGCTTGGCATGAGCATTGAGGGCAATCTGAAGCCAACAGTGGAATGGATCAA